TCTGGCACTTACTTGATCCATAAAGGTTTAATGTCGCTTAGTTGTTGTCTGCAGACCATAGGATATTCCACACTTTCTTAATTATCATATGTGTATGATTAGGAAATTTGAACGCATGCCTTTCCCTGATATAGTGAATCCAACGAACGATCATGAATAGTCCATTACGACGAAATGATTTACTTAAAATAGAACACCCAGCGTATGAACTCAAGTAGAATTTCTCAGTTCAATTTCATCTATTTCGGTGATTCAGCACAATTATTGACGTCGGAATAACATTTCTGAATGATTATTAGCTTAATTAGGAATAAGTTTTTCTATCGGATTTATAGAAGTTATGATGGTTTTATGCAACTGTTGCTGGTGGAAAGACTTGTGAAGTCCATGAATTTATCTAAAGTTCCTAGAACCAACGTTATAAGAGTAAAATATTCTTCTCAGTTGTTTGAATTGAAAATGTTCATCATAATTAACAATCCTTGAAATCGCATCATTAGATTGATTGATCATTCAACTGCATCCATTTACTCAAATTCTAGAGGGAAGATCATGACATATGTTCAAACTCATTCTATGCTACAATGTATGTTTATTATTAAAAGAGATAGATATTCAATATACATATCCGTAAATACTCATTTAATATTCATTTTATCAGACGAATTATTCGCTGTCAAATGGTCTCTTCAAAAGAATGCAAATTCTGGTGGTAAGTGAAATCAATTGCAAAGAATCATTTTCATTGAAAAACTCAAATAGAACTTGATGAGAGGAATGTTATGGGTAGGGATCTGAGAGCAGAGATTGATACATGGTGAGCGACAACACAGAAGTGATGTGTGTAAGAAAGTGAATTCGGCTGCTGAATAAGATGCACAAATACTCTTTCATGTATTCAACACACTAATTCTCAGTAAACGCATACATTTCTTACCCAATCAAATGCACTTGTCCTTCAGCTCATTCTTGATTGTCATCGATATAACTTCTCACTACACTACTTCTCATTGACTCTCCACATCAGGTTGATTGATCTTCAGTGAGAAACAGAAATCATTGCGTGAATGTGAATATCTATCTCTTACAGTATTAGATCTGATTGAAAAGCTCATGATTCATTGTTTCAATGTAAAAATGACAGATTGATTCACATTTGAGAACTAGATATCTTACAGTCATTTTGAAGGATACATCTTCCTTTCATTGACATCACGTTCACTTCAATGTGTTCATTATGACTTGATGTAAACAGATGTGATCACATAATGAGTTGGTATATACAATGTCGAATGCAACAATAACATGTTTATTAATTGTTCTTCATATTCTGTGGTAGATGAAACAGGTCAAGTAACTTATCTGATATATCCGAATGGGAAGATGTCTATTTACTTTGAGAATGTAAGTTTCACTATTGAATGGTGATGTAATGTTATTTCGTTGTGCTGTCTCATTTACTTGAGTTATGTCGATTGTGTCTAGATACACTAAGCACGTGGAGAGCAGAACAAGATTTTATATTGTGTAGACAGGTTGCATGACATTATAACTTAAACTTTAATGAGGCATTTTATTCTGACATCATTTGTGAACGAGGTTTTGTGTAGATTTCAGGAATTTCACTGATTGAAATCATGAGTCAATTGAAGCTAGACAACCATGGAAAACCTGGAAGCACTGGACGGCCGTTTCGTCGTAGTACAGGACTCCTCAGCAGTGCGCACACACGATCCGACAACCCGCGATATTCTTACCCACGACCTTTCGGTCTCACACCAGGCGCTTAACCAACTAGACTGCTGAGTCGGCCGGCATCCAACGGAGTTAATGTCTAACTTCAGCCAATCCACGAAGTTGCCCCACCGTACACCATTGACTTCAGTCAGTTGATATCTATCTCACAACAGACCTGGTTGAACTCCACTGGAAACGGCTTCTCACTGGAACTGCAGGAAATGCCTCTTGAAGTCAGTCACCAGTGAACAGATGATTATTATCAGAAGTAGTTTTGTGTAGATTTTAGAAATTTCACTGATTGAAATCATGAGTGAATTGATGAAATTGTTGATCAGTTCGGAGTGTGTATTTATTTCCATGACATCGTTTGATGTTTCACCTGTTTTGAATACAACTGTTGTTGATTCACTATTATATGGTTCTATGAAAGAACAGATGACATGTTTTAAACTCAATTTGTTTTAAATGATAAGAAGTAATCTGGAAATATTAGTAGTTACTGTCCATGGAGTTATTGAAAATCGTATCTCTATATAGCTGGAAAGATTTGGTGAAATATCCTCGAAAAGAAACCGATGATACTAGTTTGCCTAATTTGAATGTGATCAATTGTCTTTGAATATGATGACCTGAATGATGACACACTACTGAAATGATTAGTTGCTTTTGATGTATGTGTTTGTGTGTTTAACAGATCTTGATTCATATTTCCTATGGTTGTTTTCAGATATCCAAGGAAATTGATGAAAGCAATTTACAGTCGAGGATTGATTATCAACACCATTGTATAGATGATACAACGAACAGTAAGAAACATTTTACCGTTATCTTTCTGAATGTTTCAATGTACAGTGATGTACATCGGCAATCATCTGTTATCATTATATTACATTCTGAACCAACGTGATTATTATGTTGATACTTCTTGAACCAATATTCAATTGTTTTACGTAATAAAAGAATCACAATGTAAGTCACTGATGAAGTTGCTCGATGTTTCAGACGACGTCTATTGAATATTGAAGAACTGTGATTAACTGTATTGAAAGTAAACTGTAACTCTCCATGTTGACTAGCTGTAATCCGAAATGTGATCTAACTTGTTAGGAAACAAACATATTCTCCTTCGGGATGTTGAACTACCTCCACTTCATTCAAACTCAACGATGTTTCTTATTTTGTTCACAAGTTAAATGATACACACCACTTGTTATAATTTCAATAGAAATCGTAAATTGAAGTGTTTGTTCTTTTGTTCAATCAGAGTCTATGTTCGAATCGTACAATCGAATTAACGTTCCAGTAAACTTGATCAAACATCGTACTTTGGTGGAGTTTGAACCGAATACAGGTATGTAATAAGTGATTTGATCAGTATTGACCATTGTCACATTTGAACACCTTAAGTTGATTACTTCAAAATGAAGAATTCCAAGTAAGATTTTAGTCCGTTATTCAGACATCTATCTCAACGTACGTTCTGTTAACTATGAATGACTTCTTATCGATTTTTTGTTGAATATTCAACATGATAGATCAAACTTGATTGATATTTTAGTCTTCGTTTTGTTCGATAATACGCAATCACAGTGTCACAAAAACGACGCATAAAATGATACAATTGGTGAATAAAATTTATCGACAGTTAATTGAGGATGCATTGACAAGGGTGTGTGCCATAGTTCATTCATTTAGTGCATGTGATATCGAATTTTCCTCAAGTAATGAAATTGTAGAAACATTTTATATGATTGTCATTACCTTGTATTAGCGGGACATAGATTGGATTAAAGCATGGTCAATGTACGAGTGCTTTGGCGCATGCTGATTGGCTAATTCTTATTTAATCAGCACTAGTCGATACTTGGAGAACATTCTAGAATCTCCTCAATGTAAAATCTATAAATATACACAAACGTTTTTCCTATTGCGCTTCTTCTTCTTCTTCTTCTTCTTCTTCTTCTTCTTACTTCCATCTAACCTTGTTATTTGGAATATAATCGGTTTTCCTGTTCAACCATGTTCTGATTTGGGGACTTGTCGAGTGAATTGATGTCGGAGAATATTCAGTAGTTTATAGATACATTTCTTTAAGGTTTCTTTTATTCAATCACTTGTAATACAATCATCATGTTCTTTTGTTTTATAGAAACGTGTTACATTAAAGATTCAGAAGAAACATGTCTATCTGCATCTAAACCGAATATGACATGTTATTGGTGTTCAAAAGCTAATACATGTACCAATGGTAATGATACACATATTGATCGTTGGATGGAAAAAGATTGTCATGCCACTGTGAGTAACCATGAAACTTAACAACGTTTCCTTTCTTTTTTGATTGTGATCATGAACCAATTGATTTTAGACCACCATTGACAATCTGGAAGCAATGGAAGGCCGTTTCGTCATATTGTGGGACTCCTCAACAGCGCGCATCCACAATCTTGCTCGCGGGATTCAAACTCGGACCTCCAGTCTTGTGCACAAACGCTCAATCTACTAGACCACTGGATCGGTATACAACGGTGTTAATATGTAACCTCAATGAATTCACGAAATTGCGCGACCATTCTCTATTGTACTGAGGTAGACACCTGTTTCTACTTTGTGGATTGGTTGAGGTTACACATTAACACCATTAGATGTCGGCTCAGTGGTCCAGTAGGTTAAGCGTTTGCGCGTGAGACTGCAAGCGTTGGTTCAAATCCGCGAGGTGCGGGATTGTGGGTGCGCACTATTGAGGAATCGCACAATAGAAGGAAACGACCATCCATTGCTTCCAGCTTTTCAATAGTGGTCTAACATCAATCAGTTCATGATCCCAGTCAAAATCTTAATAATCTTCACAACACTATACCGATGATTTTAAGGAAATTTCACTGCAGAATAATATCATTTGATATTTACGATGGTCATTAATTTAAACTCAGTTGTTGGGACACCGTACTATTATGTTTGCTTATTGAAAGCTCAACGACAAACTATTGATTGGTTATTGTTGACTTTTCATAACCGCTTGGGCCCAACGAGATTAGCCTGAGTACAATCATTTATCTGTGCTCATAATTCATTGTCACAGTATAAACAACCAAAGCTAACCGATTCAAAATAATGGAGACTCTACAAATTACCATACAATTTATCAAGCATAAAAAAATATTTTCATTCTTTTGTTTACTTCAGATAACATCAATTGTCCTTGGATTGTAAAGGCTCCCCAAGTACATAACTGGTTGCCACATGTTCTCCCGATAGATATGAATAAAGAATTATTACGTTTACACGAGGCACCCTTTGTTTGGTTTGCTGGTCAACTAGCAGGTTACATTTTGCGTCCAAAACCACAATTTGCACAATTAATCAATGTAACCTTGAAGAGCTTTAAAACGAGTGGTGATCCTGTTGTTGGTGTGCATATCAGGCGTACCGATAAGGTTAGTGTTTGTTCATATACGTTGTCAGAATATAGTATGATGCACTTGGTTGTTCAGAATCTAAACAGTGAATGTTGAGAATGAAAGACACGTTTCCAGTTTTGTCTTTGGATTAAAATACTTTTGATAACTGGGCTGGTTATTCAGAAATCATTATCATCCTGCTCAACAGAATACTGGTTGGTAGATTCGGTTGATTTCGATACACCTGCTAATTGAGTAAAGTTTCAGGCTTTTTAAATTTCTCTGAGATTTTTGTGCTTCTTCTGTCGAAGTTCGGACATTTCCCCAATTTGATTTACGCTAAAAATTATCCACAAACATTTATATAAGCACATCTACGTCAAGGCGAATAACGGCTAACCAACGCTCATACAGGAATGGACTAAAAGTGTGACCGCTTTTCACTGTGTCGTATTTGTTGCAGTTTTTCTTGGATTTTATGTTTCCCTTTCTTTTATTTGTCATTATAGCTATGGGTTTTTACAATAAATATTGTACCGGCTTATAGGCTGTACTTACTTCTTATAGTCTTACAAAGCTGTTCGTGATCTTGCTGATATTCTTCGGATAGAGTAGAATTCCCACCTTTGCTGATGTTTAGTACTGATTTTGTATTTGACGTTATTAAAATAACCCATAACTATATATACGAATGTACAGCTTAAGTAAATGATTTCGTCGAAAAGAAAATTTTCTTCACCGAATTCTATTTTTTCTATTTGACGTAACCTTTAACAGACATACCTTGTTGATATTTTGTATCAAATCATTTTTCCGAAATGCATCCAGTTTCTTTTCCCTGTGATGCTTTAAAATCTTTACTGTTTTGTGTAGTTTTTGTAAATATCATATTTTTGCGTCAATACGTTGTCGCTGCTATAAGTGAGTATTCAACTAGTGTGGTTTGTCTTTCTGCATACTCAGTTCGAAGTTTCTTGTGTTGGTTGAATCTCCATTGTTTTCAATGATCTTTATCAAATAGATTTGAAGTTCATATGAGAGAATAGTGTATCAAGGGTCAGTTCGCCAGTTGACTTTACCTATAGAAATTGAGTAGAAATATCTAGTTTAAAGGTTTTGGTGTAAATACTTCATGAAGTATAAAGTTTATGAAAATATAAAGGAGGTTGAGTTTGGAGCATCTTGTCTTTGACAACTATAGTTTAATATTTTCGAAATTGAAAGTTCTAATGATCACGTCTTGCACATGTACTTTTTTTGTAGTTAATTTGGGAAGCTCAGTTTCATGACTTATCTGAGTACATGGAACACGTGGATAATTTCTTTGATTTACAAAGTGTTCATCTCTTGACAATGTCAAAGAGACATGTAAGTCAATAAGATGATCTCAGTTGTATTTAAACAATAAATGAAACTTCGTTAAGTAATTGATCATATTTCAATTCATGATTAATCACAATGAATGTGTTATCCATTATGATGTGTTGTACTTGATCAAATGTAAATTGAATTAAGATGTATTCTAAGATTGATAGTGGCTAGCAGTGGAATCCAGGACGCGCGTTTCGTCCTGTTTGGGACTCGTCAGCTGGATATACCTGCATCTCAGAGTTGATGTTCACTCTGGGACTCGAACTCGGTACCGTTCGTTTCAAACGCCATCGCGTTATCCACTTAGCTACTGAGTCCTGATAGCCACTTGCTTGTGCAATGGATTGAAGTTTAATTCACTTGATATTGTTTTACTTAAATCTTCCCATTGATGTTTTTGGACTGAAATTGATCAGTCTCTTATTGGCATATGTGCATACTGTGCGTATGCCTCGATATTGCCTTGATTTACAAGCATTATAAGCAAAGATGGATAGTGGCTAACAGTGGAATCCAGGACCCATGTTTCGTCAGGACTCAGTAGCTAAGTGGATAACGCGATGGCGTTTGAAGCGAACGGTACTGAGTTTGAGTCCCAGAGTGAACATCAACTCGGAGATGCATGTACATCCAGCTGACGAGTCCCAAACAGGACGAAACGCGCGTCCTGGATTCCACTGTTAGCCACTATCCATCTTTGCTTATAATGCTTGTAAATTAAGGCAATATCGAGGCATACGCACAGTATGCACATATGCCAATAAGAGACTGATCAATTTCAGTCCAAAAACATCAATGAGAAGATTCAAGTAAAACAATATCAAGTGAATTAAGATGTATTCTGTTCAAGTGAGTTTTTTGAGTTCTAGTTCTTCATTAGTATGTAGTATAGTAGTAGGTAAATGATAGTTGATGAGCTTAACTATGAATCTCAGTATTTTCTCTAATGATAAGAATATATAATTCGTAAAATGGATGCACGTATAATTAGATGATTCAATGACTTAAACAGATTAAGTAAGAAGTGAATGATAAAATTGAAATTGAGCACAACTGGAAGGATGAAAATTACATGTAGAAGGCCAAGGTAAGTGAGTACAATTTATGTGCATCAAAAATGAACTTACTGATGTGCATGGCCATACTTTTCGTAATATGAAAAGGAACAGGTACATGACCTTATAAATCAAATATATGAAGAGTTAGTGTCTAGAACTGATCAAAGCATGAAATGACTAAAGAAGAAATTTCAAACTTATTCTAGTAGTTGAACTGTTCCTACAAATAAAACTTCAATTAACAAATCAGATTTCTTTATCATCTTCACCTCCATAAACGCGTACTAGCTGTCAAACGTCGTCATGTGCGTTTGCTTATCTCAAGGCATGTGGACAAGTGTGTAGCTATGTCAAACTAAAAAAAAGTGTTGTTATTTTGAATAAAAAGAATGCAAATGAAACGAGATAATTCTGGAACTCAGCTGAGTTGAGAATAAGTAAACAAACAGACACCGACCCAATTCATCAAATAATTAGGAAGATTGTAAACAGGCTAAATCAAGAATCAGGTCAAAATAAGAAGGATAACAATAACCATTCAACGCCAAGATGGACAAGTTCTCTGTCGCAAGTGAAGAAACTCCAATAACCTACTTCTGCCTGAAGTTTACAGTAATGATACTAGATACTGAATTTTATAATTTATCTTATCTCATTCAGACCAACTACTTTATTATTATCATTAAAAAGAATGAAACTGCCTTGTCATTTTTGAAACTCTTAGGGTATAAATAAAGAGAGATTTGTATCATTGTCTGAAAAAAAAATCTATTAGAAAAAGTTACTGTGTTCAGTAAAAACGAAATGTTTATTTGGCGACAGATGATTCTAAGGCTTTTACACAACTTCTCCACAACCATTCAAACTACAATCCGTGTAGATTCCATAACAGTATAAGGCGGTTATTCAAGGTTTTCAGTAGTTGTACAGTTTGGATTTGTTCGTGATTAAAATAATATTCAACAATCTGCACAAGTTTCATTTCAGCTACTACAAAAACAATTAAGATGTTAGGAAGCAATTATGTAAGGTGTACCGTCCATAAAACACTGGTTATCACGATAACATAAATTGTAGTGTTATATGGTGTTTTGTAAACAAAACGTGGTGATTTGGGACAGTTAGGGACAATAATGCCCCCAAATGCTCTGGTACGGTCGACAGTAGGGAGAGTCAGCTCTCCTGCTCTAAGTGCTCTCACATGGTCACGCGTATATAGCCTCTGCCAGGGAAGTCCTACTCACTGCCTTCTCATGGCGGCGTTATTGTTTACAAAAATGAGAGGACGAAAAGCGAATGTCCAGCGCCTTAACCAGATCTCAAACTAGTGGTGCACATGGGTTTCAGTATCCTGAGAGAACAAATGGCGTATAAAACAATCGTTGGTCATCGGCTACCATAAGAATGCATCCCCTTACGTTGCTCCACTGCCTTGTGGATCAGACCTTCAGGTCGAAGGCTCATGGAGTGGCCCCCTAAGAAAACCACCTGCTTTGGTTTGGGCACCCGGGCAGTATTACAGCCCTAACACATATCAAATGAGATTTGTGTGATGCATATGTATTTGGTGCCTCCTTGTACCACTATCTATGTGTTCAAATAAATAATAAATAAGTGAATTAACTTTGTGTATCTACACTCCATATCAAGTATCCCGCGTACAACCTTCACAGAGTATGTAACTTTCTCTGTGGTTATCACCTCAATTTACGAAATATTTTATCTTTTTTGCAAACCCTTCCTAGCTAACTCAATATCATATGGAATAATAAACAATCTTATTCGTTAAATAATTTTATTCAGGCAAGCTTCATTATGTTCTCTAACTCGTTTATTATCAAGATAAATGACACAATACAAATAATCCAAAGACATACAGTAATGTGAATATAATCCATTCTTAATCTCAGACTATAAGTACGTGAATAAGTTCTTATCTTAATTCATGACACATCCTCAACATCTAGCAATCGTTGATTACTCAGTCACTAATCTTAGAAAAATAAGCTCATCATGTAATGAGCGAATATAAATGGCCGTGAAAAAAATCATGAATTTAGGAAATATGCAAGTACTAAATTTACTCGGTGTTATTTACTTGTATCTCCCCATTGTTATCTAGGACTGCAAATGATTAGTCTCTTGTTGTCATATGTGCATCGTGTGCGGATTGCATCGATATTGTCTTAGGTCACAAGCTTGCAGGTACATCCAGCTGACGAGTCCGAAATAGGATGTAACACCCATCCTGGATTCCACTGCTAGCCAAATATGTAACTACTGTTATAAGTCAGTCTTCATGTCATATGATTTCCGTGATTTTAAAACGTTATAATGAAGATGTAATAAGATATTGCTTTAGCAAATCAATCAGATCAAATGCACTTTGTCGATGATTTAACCTACTAGTATCAAAACCTTCAGTTATTCATTCCATTTGAATATGTGTACCTCTGCAAATTGCTAACTAATCTACTGAACATTCCAGTAGGTTTACTGTAGACGAATGTATTATGTTGTGTTAAATTCCCCAGCTAATCAGTACAAAGTTGCACTATATTAAAATCAATCAGTATTCTAAGCAAGATGAACATGATAATGCCAAGTGGTTAGTTGTCTGCATGTTTTGATAATGAGGTTTTACAAATATCAAAACTGACTCATTGAGAAATGTAATTCTGACACTTATGTTCATTTATTGTAGTGTGAAGGAAACATGGAAAGTTTCATCGGGATGCACTGGCATTATCCTGAAAGCTTTTCAGAATATTAACATACAATGATGATCCAACGTTATGATATCAGTTCAATAAGAAACAGTAGTGACTTAGTGTTAAATAATAATTAAAGATTATTTGAGAACAATTTGTTAGTTAACATGTAAAGCAAAATGCTGTGAAATATTCGCTTGTTATTGCAGATTTGAGGCTGTGAAGTTTTATTGTTTACATTACAGTTCAATCTCAGGTTGACGGTCATTAAAAGTGTGTGAGCAGTGGGCATGTTTGGTTCAGGAATCGATCTTGGCTCACTTGTCTAAAGATTCGACTTTATTTGTGGTGCTGAAATATACTGAGTTTATTCCATAAGAGAGTCATTGATAAAGTCCCTTAATAAAACGAGTTAGTTGTTCTATTCACCCTAGTTTTCCACTGCTGTCTAATTGAGTCTAGACCATAATGCAAACTATGAACTAAGAAGAACTCACTCTATTTTTGTTTTTAAGAGTTCGGTTTGAATGAGTGGGAATTGTGTGTTATGAGAATAGGAAATGTTTCCAATGTTCAATTATATCTAGTTGTATCACTTCGTATTCAGACTGACTACTTCATCATCATTATTACTGTTATACGGAATGAATCTAATTTGTCATTTTTGAAACTGTTAGGATATGAATGAAGAGAGATTTGGATCAGTTTCTGAAAGAATCATTAGAACAAATAACTCTGTTCAAGCTAAGCGAAGTGTTTACTTGTCGACAGATCATCCGAATATTTTTACTCAACTACCCTACAGTTATCCAAACTACACCGTCTATGGTAGCCGAGGTAGATCGCAGTCAGCTAATATGAATATGCGGATGTCAGTTAATTCAATGAATAATGCAATTATTGACATCATTGCACTTTCAATGACAGATTTCCTTGTGTGTACATTTTCATCGAATGTAAGTAATATATATATATATGTTGACTTGTATTGACGACAATATTACACGTTATTTTTACAGAAGTGAAGTTGTTATTACCACAAGATTGAATGGAAATCATTGATTAGTAATGATTGAGAAATGTAGAGGGTTTTTACCAACCTGATGTAGGTCGACTTCCTTTAACAGCAGCATTTGATACTCTATGTGTGCAATTGGTAAATGTTTATCTCTTAGCTCTCTGTGAAAAATATCCTTCTGCATGTGAATATAAAATCACAGCATGAGAAAGCAACTATTATTGGGTCCAGACCAGTTTACAATAAAGCGCACATTTTTGTCTACTTCAGTGCTATCAGGTTTAATATGGTGGTCTAATCTAGATCGGTTCATGATTCTAATGAAATTCAACAATGTTCACAGCCCCAAACTGAATGTGTTTCAATCAGTAAGTCAGTCAACAACGTAGAACTTCGTACATGTGTACATGAGTTTAAGTTGCCATACCACATTTGTACAGAGATACGCTTAACCTCTGTACCACTGAGTCGGCAACGAACGGTGTTAATGTCTAACTTCAAACAATCCACGAAATTGTGCAAACATCTTCCATTGTACTGAGGACGGTCAGACTGAAGGCTTTGGGTTCTAATGCCGTGAGCGAGATTGTGGATGCACACTTCTGAAGAGTCCCACAATAGGACGAAATGGCTGTCCAGTTCTTACAGGTTTTCATTAGTGGTCTAACATCAATCATTTCATGATTTCAATCAAAAACGTAATAATCTCCACAACCTTATACGGATAATAACAACAATTCGATTATTTTCTATTTTTCACAATATATTACTATAATATAACCTGTTACCAAGATTCTATTACCATTTGTTTAAATATACTATCAATACTCTAAATAAAAATTGAATCAGTTTATGACAGGTACATGATAGATAAACAAAAATAAAAAAATATATATTTAGCCTAAACAATGCCTTAATCAATACAGCCCGCGCGCAAAACCAGTAGGCCCTGGGTTCGAGTCTCGCGGGGGATGAGGTCGTGAATGCGCACTGCTAAGGAGTCCTACAATAGGAAGAAACGGACCTCCAGTGCTTTCAGGTTTTCCATGGTGGTCTAGCTTCAACTGACTCATGATCTTAACCATTGAAATTGATTGAATATTTGACTATTTATCAGTACATATATGTATGTGAAATCAATCAAAGAGTCGAAACACATGAATGAGTTCTGCCTGGAAATGAGCGAATGTTGGAGAAATGCACAAAAATCGAAAGTGATTGTTATGATCGTTAAAAGAATGTTATTACAACAACCCTGGTTAGAAAGCTGCTACATCTTTCATTTGATGCTAAAAGACACTCCCGATTTTACGATGAATCTATTTTATGAAAGTATCGTTAATGTGCGTTATGCGTTACCCTGAAGAAATCGCTCGTTACAGAATGATTAGTCATAAGAAAGACCCAAGTAATCCGGTCAATCCTAAACGGTATGTCTTTCCCAATCCTCAGACTTAAGAATTCGTTTTTGTAATATACACTTGCTCATTGTTGTTTTTTATCTAAGATATTTAAAATAATCTATTAAGTATCGCACAGTATTGATAGTAATATTAGTCCCAAATGAGTATTCAGAAGTAATTGAATTTATCATCGAATACCTACCATATTCATGTATAAACCAGTCTATTTTATTTCTTCGTGTGCTCGTCTCCATACATAAATGTCAGTGTTTGTAGATCGACCAACTAAGTGTTTCAGACTATTGATAGATTATAGCTGACAACGACGACTATATTTAGTAACTGCTCCCCAGCTATGTGACCTGCTAAGTGGCCTCACAAGTCATTTCGAAAAGACCATTTATCTTCCCAATATCAGGTCCATTTTCAGTTGCATTAATACCTGAATCACTATTATTACAGAACTCTCTGTATATTGGCAATATTCTGCTCGAAAGTCTGATATCATCTGATTATTCGTCACAGAAAATTATAAACTACACATAATATACTTCGTATTTTAAATGCTAACGTTTGGTGCTAACTAAATAGTGAGTTGGTTAGTGTTTCTGCGATGGAAGTTCGATAAAAGTAGTTAAATACGACCAACCTGAATGACAAATGTTTTTCGGCACACTAACCTCTGTATAATTAGTGACTACAACCCATCGCTTTTGTGTTTTCCGCAGTGAATTTTGTGGATTCTCATTGGTTATTCACCGATTACTTTGATTGTAGCTACTGATCGTTTATTCTGGTTTATTACGTAGGGCATTTTAAATAGAATGAAATTGGTAACCGGTTCCTGCTATTCATTATATCATTGTGGAGTAACGGTAAACTTTACTGTTTTAAAATGTACTGAAAAATTGAAACAAATCTAATATTCATAAGCAGGACTATTCACTGTGTAATATTGTAGGGGTTCAACATAGAATATCCGTTGTGAATTTCAAAATTACATTTTTACCTCTTTCATTCTATTCGTGTGAAAATATCCTTTTTTGATGGAATACTCAAATTTCAAGGGTCTTATTCGATTATTTGAATCCTTATGCTAATGTAGAAAAATAATTTCGTGAAATGTCTAACATTTTTGTGCAAATAAGTAGTTTTCATTTATGTGTTTCACACTCGGTGATATTCTTTGGTTTTACGGTTTTTGTTATTATTGTCGACTTACTTATAAGCTGGGTAGATATAATCACATATGCTTTCAAATTTGTAAACGTGCTTGTAATCTCAGGCATCACTGGACTCATCAACTAGTGGAATGAAATGGATGGCTTTTGTGGCTTTTGATCGAATTGAAGAACAATTATGTCAACAGGACTTTTTTGAAACTCAGTCGCTGCATATAATAGGATCACCACACAAGGCTCCAGTGGACGGATTCTGTAAAAACAGTATGTTTTCTGGCAAAATGAAATGTTATCGAATATAAAAATTCGTCATGAAAACTGTACTTCCATTCTCCATTTAGAGATCACCTTTCATGTTTATACTGTGGCTAAGGGGGTAGCCTAGTGAGTAATGATACGCAGGTGTTTTAGTTACTAACTACAATTCCCAACGACATATTTTAAATTAACGAAAAACATTGTGAACAGAAAAGTGAACTTTGTATCTCTTCACGTTATCTCTGTTATGCTCCCATCCCCGTCGCCAATTGTTATGGCTCAAAGAGACATTCGATTATATGACAGTGACTTATCGATCGGACCAAGGATTCAGAATCTCGATAGTCTATTCTAGTCCGTTGTCCCCAACTCTGCTAACTCGATCAAGAAGTCTGGGTAAGGTGTAGAAAGTGTATTCTACAGACAAACAGCAGATAACCAGTCAGGCAGGCAGATCAGATCAAGCATACAAGTCAAGCGTATTTATACAAATATTTACAATCGATATTGTCATGGAAGATTTTTGAACATTAATCAACAATTGACTGCTATTTGTACATTTAATCGATAGTTCATCAATTGACCTATTTGTACATTTAATCGATAAGTAAATTACAAAATTTGAGTTTTGGGGATCTATCGTCCCCAACAATCTCACTTATGCTACTGCTACGTCTTTAAAGGTAATAACTACTAACTTATTACCTAATTTTTTTGGTACCCATACCTTAAATACTATCAAAAAGATTTTATGTAGCCAGATAATAAGTTCGCTGTACTGTACCTGCATATGCTGAATAGATGCTTAACTCCGTTACCTATAAAGTACTGCACCTTTGCCTGAGTCTAGATATGTATATTTCTTCCTATCACCCAATTGGATTACGAGATAACTTACTAAATATGTAGTAAGTTTACAAAATGAAAGCAGGTTTTTGTAAAGTAAATCTTTCCCTCTTAGGCATCTAATGTTCATTGTCTGATTTATTACTTCTGTAACTGTGGAGTGCCTTGTCTTATTATTTAGGATTTTAATATCATTACATTACATCAATATTTATTTTATGAAGGTCTATTAGAATGTAATTGTGAACAATTTCAACTAATCGTGTAAAATCTAAGTTAGTAAATCAGCATTGGTAATTCACAAACAAACCACACTTACAATTTTTACCAGGCAATAATCTGAGAAATCTGTTTTCGATCCATGAACGGTGTTTATTGTAATCATTACGATACGTTTCACATACTGTTTCATAAACGTTTATAAAATCGAATCAAATGACTGCCGTTATGAATTTTGTGTACTTAGCTATTGGCCCTGCAAAGTAGATTTGTTGTATAAAGCTTAAACTTTGACAAATACGTATTCATTCTAATAATTACGTACCATCTTCGCACCACAACTACCGCATGTTAGTCACATTATCCACCTACTGAGACTTTAATAAATAATACATTCTTTAAAAACACGTACTTAAACCACCAATTTTTGACTTATTCCGAGTACTTTTCTAGGAGTATCATGATCTTTGTAACTGCAGTCATAGGGCATTTTCCCTATTGTTTTTTTTATGTGTACTTTTTTACACAGTAACGAACTTCTGAAGGATGCATCAAGTCGCTTTAAAACAGATGGTTACTGGAATGCGAATTATACGCTACTGGAGTCTTACCCTGTTCACAATGGCCTGTTTTACTGGGTGTCGATCACTCCATAAATGGGTGAGAAGATTCAGCACATTCCGATTATTTGTGTTGTAAGTTAAATTCTTTTAGATCTTATCTACAATCTAATACTAAACTCATATAGTCAACATGATTTTAACTCACAAAATTGCTTAACACATTTGTTAAGGTATCCAAAATCTTAAACCTATATTTTCATTTTGAATTATTTTTGGTATGCAGTAAAACTGTATAATTGTGTAAGGGTCTAAGTTTTCTCGTTGTTGATACTAAGTTCAGAACTTGATTAATTTCTTTTTCATATATGTGTATGCGGATCACTAAGTTGGGTGGTATAATAGTTTAGTGAAGTTCATAAATTGTGTGATAATTAGAGAGATTAATGGAATTGAATAATGATAAGGTAGATTATGTAATAATAATTAAATAGATAATAATTAAATGGATGCTCACTGCTGAGGAGTCCCATACCAGGACGAAACGGCCGTCCAGTGCTTCCAGGTTTTCAATGGTGGTCTAGCTTCAACTGACTCATGATTTCAACCTGTGAGAATTCGAAAAGTTAAGATAATTTAAAAGGATCAGGTGGTGGAAATGTGTGAATAATAATGTGGTTTAAGAATTATGTAATAGGGGAAGAGTATAAATATTTTAAAATAAATGAATAAAATAACCCAAATAACCAAAACACACACAAAAAAGGGGGTTACCAGGGTAGTGATAATTTTATTCAAGTCTCTTTTTGAATGCATAAATCCGGTTTAAGTTTTTTTATCGCAATCGCTTCAGCGAAACGAAGAGTAGTCACAATTGATTGATCACTGGGTGGTGATCAATGTCATGCTTATCTAGTCCTTATTAGTGCAGATCGAATACTATCGATCATGTTGCAATGTGGCCAACAGTCTAGGTGACTCGACACTGCGGGCACTATGTATTGATATTTAGATGGTGGTTGGAGGTAGTCAACAGGAAACCCTGGACCCGGGTTTCGTGCTACTTGGCACTCCTCAGCAAGGTGTACCTGTAATCTTGAGGGAACTGATGCTCCCTGGCGGATTCGATCTCGTGTCACCCAGCTTCACAGTCAGAGACGTTACCACTGAGCTATCCCAGCCGTGACTAACCTCCTGTAGGACTGAGATGTAATCACAATTGATTGATCACTGGGTGGTCATCAATCTCATGCTTGTCTAGTCCTTATTAGTGCAGATCGAATGCTATCGATCGATAGCATTCGATCTGCCGTAAGTTTTGCTGCTGGGTAGGCCACTTTCAAGACAGAATTTAATCTGTGATTAATTAATCCGGCAATTTCATCTCCTTTAAAACGTAAATGTAAGAAGCAAGTTCTCTTTTCTACTCCATCATACTTTGTCTGAGGATGAATTTCAACGGGTATGCATTTTCAGGTAGAACATTAGTGATGAGAGTAATTTCGTCATCAAGGCATTCCTTTGAATAAATTTTGCGAGCGCGGTCAAAAAGGGTTCGTAAAATACCCTTTTTGTAACTCATTGGGCAGAAACTATGGTAATTGAGATATAGACCACTCCAAGTGTTTTTGTGATGAATATTTTTCAAAGGAGATGAAATTGCCTATATATATATATATTTATCATTGTAATCCCGTTATTTATACTCATTTATGTCTCAATGTAAAAAATTCTATCACATTTTTGGTTTGTAAACAGCCGACGAGAAAGCTCGAAATATTTTGAATTCATACTATTCTGCATCAATGTTTGTTCTTGCTCCATTTAAATTCATAAAAAGAACCAATTGTATGAAATTATTTCTGTCTGTTTGTGAATAATCGATTATTTTAAAGCCCTGACCTTTCATAAGTATGGTTAGTATTTCCGAAATCTGAGTTTCTAACTTTAAAGTTTTATGCTGTCCTCAGTCAACTGTTTCTTGATTGAAAAGGCACTTTTCGTATGTATGTAGAAAGGGTTGTTTGTCTTTGATGTTTTTGACTGAGGATTTTGTAATTCGATCTATAGATGTTGGATATAGTGTGCTTTGGTTTGGTTCTGGACTTCTCACTTTGCGACTGTAACTTTACCAACAAATTCATCAGTCAGCCAGTCAGTCAGCTACAACGTAGGACCAGGCACATATGTACATCGGTCCAGGTTGCCATACCGCATCAGCACAACAAGATGAACACCGGATTCATAGCAGTGGTTAGGTCAAAGGTAGTAATACATAAGAGAAAGATTGCATATAAGCATATAGTATAAGAAGAAAGAATTAGTTAGTAGAAAGAAAGATATGAAGTGATTTTAATCTCTTAGTTTAAGGGAAGACAGGGAGTGTATACACCGACGCCATTGTGATCGACTCTGAGCCATGTCACCAAGAGTCTCCAACCATTGGTTACGAAAGTCACGCGGACCCCAACCAAGTAGTCTGCATCTACCAACATGGCTCAGACTAGAAGTTAGTGACTTCAAGCACTGATGCCACGTTTTGGTTTGGCCGCCCCTAACTTTCTTCCAACCATTTCCAATACCGGATAGCATCGCACGTCGTGGTAATCGGTGTTCAGGCATACGTAACACGTGGCGCAACCATCTCAGCCGGTGAAGATTCATAACCTCATCAACTGATTTACCATCGTTTCCTAATACCCTGCGTCTAACCTCACTATTACTTACCCGGTGATCCCAGCAGATGCCAGCAATATTTCTAAGGCATCTGTGGTCAAATACTAATAGCTTGCTAGTGTCTTCTACTCTTAATGGCCATGTTTCGCTGTCGTAAAGTAAAACAGAACGGACTGCCGCGCAGTATACTCGTCCTTTTATTGATAGACGGATATCTCGCCTTCGCCATAGATGGCGCAAGTTGACAAAAGCTAATCGAGCTTTTCGAATCCGTGCTGAGATTTCGTCCGATACCAACCCATTAGGGCTGATCAGACTTCCAAGATAAGTGAAGTTGTCAACGCGTTCGACTACTTCACTTCCTATCCTTAGTTCAGGTGTTGACGCAGACCAGTCCTGAAGCAACAACTTGCATTTAGAGGGAGAGAAGCGCATTTCAAACATTCTGGCATTGTTGCTTAGTGCTACCAAAAGACTCTGCATTTTGTCAGCGTCTTCATAGTCTTACTATTATATTGTGTTAATTATTTTTTAGGACTTAACGTATTCTATAGAAAGATTTCAACAGTCCATTCGAAGTTCTTTTTCATCTGATATCAAAGCATTGAATAAACTCTTTCTTCCGGTTAAATAAATGATTTTGTTTTTGTTTCTTAAACTAGTCCTACATTTAATTAGAGCTTCATACTTTTTCTTAATATTTTCCGTCATTTAGATCACAGAATACTCCGTATACGAAGATCACATCGTTCACCGAATTCCCCATGATTTTTTTACTCAATGACTTTTCCTACTTTTATTTTCGTTTTGTCCAGTTTCCATAATCTTTTCCAACTATTATTTTAGATTTTGTATATTTTACACAAAATGCTGTTCCATTTTACTCAACGCCTAATTTCTAGATTCATAATTTTTTTTAAAAACAAATTAGACAATCTGTAAATGCTGTTTAGTTAAAAAAAAAATATGTTGTAATTGTTTACGTTTATACTTTACCGTTAGTTCCATTGATAAAAAGATCTTCATTGTATGCCATAGCAACAGGAGCATTGCGAAAAAAATCTGTTTCCATGATCATCAGATAAGACTAAATTCTCCATGGATTTGTTTTTGTTCTTTGTGTAGTTGTAAGATTTTTCTTTGATAGATTAACATTATCAACATAACACAGCCAAAACTTGTAATTGGCAATTTGATCGGAAACATATTGAAAAAAGCGATTGGTCAAATGTAAGTTGATTGATTGTAATATCGCTGAGTATTAACTTGTTAATTTATTGCAAACAATTAATATTCAGTATTTCCTATGTTTAAAAAATATCAACGTTGAATTGTGGAAGAAATTTGAACAAGATTGATGGTGTTTAATATTAGTTCAACGTTTAAAATACATTATCTTACAGTTGGGATATGAATTTATCCAAAACCTTTGCTTTTTTTCTACACAGGTCCAAATTAATGGCTCTTATAAATATTTACTCAGCTTCATAATTTATGATTCTTGATCAAATTAACTCAAATTCAACTCGATCTAATATGCTTAACATAAAATATAACAATGTTAGACATTAACACCGTTGGATGCCGGCTCAGTGATCTAATGGTTAAGTGCTCGCACGCGAAGCCAGTATGTCCTGGGTTCGAGCCCCGTGTGGTGCGGGGTCGTGGATGCGCACTGCTGAGGAGTCCCATACTAGGACGAAACGGCCGTCCAGTGCTTCCAAGTTTTCAATGGTGGTCTAGCTTCAACTGACTCATGAGTTCAATCTGTGAAAATTTCTAAAAATCTCCACAAAACACATTCTGATAGTAACAATATTTATCAGGCTTTCTTCTATACGAATAGCGTATTTTTATCACATATAAATGGATTAACTGATTTTACCAATTACTAGCACAATCATCAAATTTTCTCTGAGTGGTCTAGCTTTAATCAACTCATCAATTCACTTAATAAATACATTACTATATCAAAATGAATTGTATTAAATTCTGTTTTCCTTTTTAGAATGAGTATTTGCTCTGAATTGTAAATATCGTTTGTGTCTATTTTCAGCTAGTAAATGTAGATACACATTGAATCATAAAAACTGTTTCAGAGATGAATATTTGGGTGAGCACTGACTTGGGAAATTGGATTTTTAGAAATCATTTCCTCATCATGTTGTTGAATGCTTTGATTGTGACAAAATTGGACGAATTAACTTAATGTGTAAGACTACTGTGAGTGTTCATTGTTGAGAGGTCTCATGCTAGAACATGCCGGCTATCAAGTTCCTCTAGTATTTCAATGGTGGTCCGACATAGATTTGTAGTGACTCACATTTATCACGAGAACACGACTGGTTTAATAAAAACAATTATTATTATAACCAAGTGTACCAGTGACTGTTTTAACGTGCTTTTGTTTGACTGTGCTAATGACAGCTATTTTGTGCTTCCATTCTTATACTTACACTTTGATTGTAACTTCGCGCGAATTCGGTTACGTTCTGTAACCAAGCTTGTATCCTTGCACGATCTCGGTATCCTTTCGATGCCACGAGATCGCCAGCAAATAAACATCGACTTGGTCCATTAATTGCCTTCTGATATTTGGCTTCTCGGGGATTTTATGGAGTCATTTGGAACGAGCTTCTTACGCCTTCTGATCTAATTGGCACGTGTTTCTTGGTAGCGGTGTTCATAGTTAATCTCAACTCGACGCCACGCTACAATTGGTAATCCCAATACGAATACAGTTGGTAATCCCAATTCGACTACAGATTAAACATCACTTTAATGAATTCAGTTCTCCTTCGGATAATGTTCTAATGATTGCGAATTCTTGTGTTCTCATTTGCTCAATTGTATTCAAAAAGGTATAAAACGTTTATTAAGATCTGCTTTCTATTAAATTGACTGATTCGTTTGTTTGTTTCTTTATAACTGATGCAGAATCAGCATTGTAATTGACATCGTTTGTTGAGGGGGAGCAACATTATTTTGATTAGTGGAGTGAAATAATCGAACAGACATGTAGAACATGCGAAGTGCAATTCAGTCTACTTTGATGAAAGTGCTGATATGCACTAACTAATCACATAGTAGTATGCAATATCATGTTTTTCTGGCTCTCAGTGCTGACTAAACTTCATCTATCGAGTTGAAAATGAAGCCTGGTATTACAGGTGTTCAGTTGTGGAACGAGTATTTCAGTGATAAGTTGCCAAACTGTGAAATTGTATGACACGACTTCTTATCAAACAGTAAACATCAACACTCTTGATATTCTAGTTATCTCTAACGGACAAGTGTCAACCAGCATGAAGCTTGTGTTCAAACGTTACTGTCATCCAACATTAACTACTTAACATATACTAAGTAATTGCAGGATGATCTCATTACACGCTATCACTAAATTACATGTTCTCATTATGTTTCATATACATAGTGCCTAGTGGAACGCAAATTTCTGTGTTATTCATTACAGTAACAGTTGCAGACATTAATAATTTCTTTGATTCGTTTAACTACTGTTGTCTAGTAGTTTAATGATGAATATTGGGATGATAGAGAGTATATGTTTCCTAGCATATGCCGTAAACGTAAATATTTCGCTTGCGCCCTTTGAGCAACGACAGTAATGAAAAGCTAAACATGGAATAAGTTGGATGAATACATGTTGACTACTTCACTCCTTATCCTTAGTTCACGTGTTGATGCAGACCAGTCCTGAAGCAACAATTTGCATATAGATGTGAAGAAGCTCATCCAAAACATCCTGATACTGTTGTTCAGTGCTATGAAATGGTCTGCATTTTATCAGCATCTTCACCAAACCTGACTATGTCATCTGCGTATTCTCATTCAATAAGTAGGAATCCTGGTGAAAGATTGATTCTTGAATAACCAGTAGACGAAAACCTCATTTCCTGTAGTAAGTCTTTGATGGAATTAGACAGAAATGGAGATATTAGGAAGCGTGATCGGACACCACCTGAGTTTGTGAAATCATATGGCAGTTTGACATAAGCTCTGACTCGAATGGTGGTGTTCGAGTAATGGCTCTTCACAAGTTTCATGTACATCTGAGGTACGCATTTTAATAACAAACACTGCCACAGAACCTCTCGGTATACAGAGTTAAATGCTGCTTTGAAGTCAAGACAAACCACTATTGTCAGATGCCGATAAACATGTCTGCGTTTCGAGATCTGACAGATGTTGAATATGTGGTCGATGTAATAACTATCAGTTCGGGAGTCAGCCTGATTTTCTAGTGCTTGCAGTCCGCGATTCTTGTTTCGGTGACCGTTAATTATTCAGGCTAATATTTTAGATGATATATTAATTTAACTAATCTCAAAGTCGTCCAACATGATTAATGGACATATATTGTCAACTTTACTATGGTTTACCGTAACAACTGGCATAAAATTAATTACAATCAATGAGGAAAAAAGATTTTTATAATCCTGCGAGTGGGATCGTGGGTGTGCTCTGTAGAAGAGTCCCACAATGGGACAAAATGGCCGTCCAGTGTTTTCAGGTTTCCAATGGTAGTCTTACATCAATCGGTACATGATTTTAATCAAAAATAAAGAAACATATTAGATTTAATAGAATTCAAATAGATATGATTGCTTGCGTACAGAATGTCAAGCTTATAAACATTCTCTGGTGTTGTATTTCGAATAGCCTCTATCCATGATCTAAATATTTCCTCAGTCAAATGTATGTATGCACAGATGTCCACATGGATTGATATAAGCGATGATTATAATATCATGGCGTTTGATCGCCAATTGATGTTCATTTATGCAACGATGAATAAGGAGTCTGTTTTTTACAATGTAGTGTCTTTTGTGTTTTTGGAATAATTTATTTTACAGATTTGCGTAGGATTCATTGAATGAAGATTTTTTTAATAGAAAGCAGATCTTAATATACGTTTTATACCTTTTTGAATACAATTGAGCAAATAAGAACACAAGAATTCGCAATCATTAGAACATTATCCGAAGGAGAACTGAATTCATTAAAGTGATGTTTAATCTATGTCGGACCACCATTGAAATACTAGAGGAACTTGATAGCCGGCATGTTCTAGCATGAGACCTCTCAACAATGAACACTCACAGTAGTCTTACACATTAAGTTAATTCGTCCAATTTTGTCACAATCAAAGCATTCAACAACATGATGAGGAAATGATTTCTAAAAATCCAATTTCCCAAGTCAGTGCTCACCCAAATATTCATCTCTGAAACAGCTTTTATGATTCAATGTGTATCTACATTTACTAGCTGATGAGATAACACGATGTTTGCAGTAAATGGTACTGATTTTGAGTCTCAGAGTGAAAACCAACTCTGTGATGCAAGTACACCAACCTGGTGAGTTTTAAATGGGATAAAGTGATATTCCACTGCTAGCCACCACCCGTTTCTGCTTCTGTTGCTTATAACATAAAATAATATCCAATCAACCTGTACAGAATGCACATTTACGATAAAAAGACAACACAACATTCCTTAGATTCTTTTCCTCTGGTTTGTTGGTTCTCATGCAGTTACGTGTGTGGTTAATGGAGTGATTTACTAGCTATGGTGTTTCTGTTAGGTCTGGACCCAGAAATTCTAGTCGTGCATA